CCAGCTGTGTCTGGAGAGGTCCTTTTATAAAGCTTTTAGATGTGTAACCCATATAAATAGTGATCCCATGTCCGCCCGCTCGCCATCCATTCAACAAAGAGTTACTGGGTGCGTAGCTTACGAGACGAGCAGGACCGCCACCGCCGCTGCTGCTTGGATCAGGGCAGCAGCTGGCGTGCTTCTTTTTTCAGAGGGCTTTGGAATGACTGATTCTCGGAGCTAACCTGGAGGAGCAGGGTTCGGTGTCCGTACTTTACAGATGTGCGAGTTAAGGCCCAGGAAAGGAAGGGATTAGATGAGTTCAGAGTCTGACGGTGCTCAGGTGCTCATTGGCCGCCGCCTCTTTGATAAACTCACCTCTCGTTCTCAGGAAGGAAGACTCTTAGGGGAGTAGGTCTCAGCTCCCTCTCCCCAGGACAGGCCTTGATGAACATCTGTCAGGTTCCCGGCTGCGGGCTTGGCTTTGGGAGTGATTTATCTTCTTCATCCTTTTCCTTTTTTTTTTTTTTTTCCCCCCTCTACATCCTGTTTTCCCTGACTGCTGCAATAGCCATCGTTTTTCCTGTCTCTGAATACCAGTCTAACACACACATCTTTTTATTTCCCATTTAAAACCCTTTGAAAGTTCTCCATTGGCTCCTAGATAACCCCCAGGCTCTTTTCACACCGCCTGGCTCCTCCATAGCCCCCAGCCTTCTCTCTTGCTGCCTCATTCTATTCCATCACTATTGCAGGTCCTCCTCACTGATCCTGCACACATGGTCCTGTGTTTTGCCCTTTGTGCCTTACTCATACTTGGAAAGTTCAGGTCACGTGATTCTCTATGACTAGCCTGAGCTTCTTAAAGGCAGACCCTTGTTTTTTTGTCTTCTTGTCTCAAACCCTTGGCACAATTGTGATATTTAGGGCTTTCCTGGCTGCACATGCCCTCCAGTCCCTTCTCTATCCATCATCCTCGCCTTCCCTCCCAGAGTGATCCTGCTAGTAAGCAATCACACTTACATGTTACAGCAGTATACAGTTTAATTAAATCTGTTCTTGAGATGGTCTGCCCATTCAGGTAGGTCGGATATACTCAAGGCTGCACTTTGGCTCTTGTGGACTTGGTTTAATTTTCTTTAGCTTCAACTTGAACTTGCATATGAGCAATTGATGGTCTGTTCTATAGTTGGTCCCTGTCCTCTTTCTGACTGATGATATTGAGCTTCTCCATTGTCTTTTTTCACAGATGTAGTTGATTTGATTTCTGTGTATTCTGTCTGGTGAAGTCCATGTGTATGGTTACTGTTTATGTTGTTGAAAAAAGCTATTTCCAATGAATAGGTTGTTAGTCTCACAAAATTCTATTTTGTGATCTCTGGTGTCATTTCTATCACCAAGGGCATATTTTCTAACTACTGGGAAGTCTTCTTTGTTTCCACTTTTCACTTTCTAATCACCAGTAATTATCAATACATCTTGATTGCATGTTTGGTCAATTTCAGACTGCAGTAGCTGATAAAAATCTACAAATTCTTCATCTTTGGTCTTAGTGGTTGGTGCATGAATTTGACTAATAGTATTAACTGGTCTTCCTTGTAGGTGTATGGGTATTAACCTACCACTGACAGCACTGAACTTCAGGATAGATCTTGAAATGTTCCTTTTGACAATGAGTGACATGCCATTTCTCTTTGTCATTCCTGGCATAGTAGACCATATGACTGTCCAATTCAAAATGGCCAATACTAGTCCATTTCAGCTCTAAATGCCTAAGTTATCAATCTTTATGTGTTCCATTTCATTTCTGACAACTTCCAATTTTCCCAGATTCATACTTCATACATTCTACATTCCAGTTACTAATAGATGTTTGCAGCTGTTTCTTCTCATTTTGAGTTGTGCCACATCAGCAAAGGAATGTCCCCAAAGCTTTACTTCATCTACACCATTAAGATGTACTCAGCTTTGAGGAGGCAGCCCTTTCTCAGTTGTATTTTTAATGCCTTCCAACTTGAGGGGCTCATCTTCCAGCACTGTATCTCAGACAGTGTTGTGCTGCTGTTCATAAGGTTTTCACTGGCCATTATTTCAGGAATAGATCATCAGGTCCTTCTCCCCAGTCTGTCATAGTTTAGAAGCTCTGCTGAAACCTATTCACCATGGGTGACCCTTCTGGCATTTGAAATACTGGTGGCATAGCTTCTAGCATCACAGTAACACACAAGCCACCACAGTATGACAAACTGACAGATGAGTCCACAAAAGCCACAGTACAGCCTTGAGTATATCCCACCTGAATTTAAAGACCATATGAAGAATAGTTTTGATGCATTGAACACTAATGACTGAAGGCCAAACAAGTAGTGGGATGACATCAAGGACATCATACATAAAGAAAGCAAAAGATCATTAAAAAGGCAGGGAAGAAAGAAAAGACCAAAATGGATGTCAGAAGAGACTCTGAAGTTTCTTCTTTAATATAGAGTAGCCAGAGTGAATGGAAGAAATGAAGAAGTAAAGAGTTGAATTGAGAATTTCATAGGGCAGGTTGAGAAGACAAAGTATTG